GCGTGAAAGAAGTATGGTTCCCGCCGGCGGGGAGGGTGCTGTGGGAACCCGGGCATGCTGGTTGGAGCCCAAATAGGGGGCTGCTAACCTGTCGGCCGGAGTGTGGGCGTCTCAACCGCCCCTGCTTCCCTCGGACAAATTCCTGTGGTGTGGCCGAGGCAGGAGGAGAATGTGTGCTGCCTGCAGTTGCGCTGTTTTGAATTCCAGGGCTTGGTTTGCTGCTTTTTTTCTTTTTTTCTTTTTGTCCTCCTCAAGCGTAAATTTTGGAATCTGAGCTTCATCCCCTTCTCCCTTTTAACGACCCTCGGAGTAAGACTGCGGAGGGTCACCCAGGATAGCTTTGCTTGTCTGATTTCTTTCTTTCCTTTTCTTTTTTCCTGTAATTATCAGGCCGTGATGCCAATAGGACCCCGATTACCACTTAGGATAAGAGAAAAAAAAAGTTATGGGGTGATAACTTTCTCCATCTTAACATTATTCAGTGATCCTTGTCTCTGACATCCGATTTGTAAGTCCAGTATGGGAGCCCATGTGTTTATGTGTAGAGTGAGGTGTTAATTTTATGCTATGAATGGGGTTATTGTAGTAACCGCCTTGGCTTGAGTGTAAGTAACTTTGATGCAGATTCTTCCAGTGTACTCTGATTTCCCCTTTAATTGCATCAACTGGTCCCACACGTCTTTGTAGAGTTGAGATAAATTTGAAATCTGCATGGAAAGTATCTGGGCACCCGCATATGGGTGATTTGTCTTATTTGTGGGCTTAACAATTTCCATACATTCTTAATAAGTAACCATGCCAGGAGGCTTCATAGAAAAATGAGATTGAAAGCCCCCTTTGTATTAGCTGATGTATAAACTCCATTTTTCTTTCTCAATACTGAGTAGGTTAAAGTTCATTCCTTCTGTTGGCTTTTAAAGCGATATCTTAAAAACAATTCCATTTCAGAATACTTTAATGGTACTCATTTGCTAAAAAACGTTCTCCAAATTCCCAGCGTGGAGAGTCAACCTTTATATCTCCTAAGTTTTGGTATGTAAACTTCTGATGAAAAATTAAGTCATAATTAAATTTGCTTTCTAAGTTACTGTGTTACTTAGTGTGTCAAAGTAGAGGAGAACTATTTTGTTTTGAGATAGTCTTATATATTTCCTTTCTATCTTGGTTAGTTCTATTTAATTTTCTTCTTTCATGTCATTGACTTAGTTGTTAGTTTGGCAACATGGCTGTTGATGTTTTTATCTTTCTCTGTCTCCCTTTTCTCTCTCTTGTCTTCTTTTACCCCCACCAGGTGCTGGAGTCTGCTTGTCAGGGAGGGGGGAAGTCTGTGATTCTGAGGAAAGAGAATCAAGAAGGGGAACAGCAAATTCGATCACGTACACTCCTCCAGTGAAAAGCCACCTTGCCT